TTTCATATTTTGACATGTCTTTATGAACTGTGATCTTTGACACTTGATTTTGACCAAAAAGTCAAAGTTTGACTTTTCAGTGTACAGTTAACTTTTCATCAGTTGACTGAAATTTAACTGTCAATCAATTGAACTTGAGGAATGTTTTGAGCCATGCCATTAGGTAAAAATGAAGTTTTTGAATCCTTGAGATCATAAATTAAAACAATCAATCATTTTCTAGGTCAAAAATCATAAATTTCCCCTTCTTAGTCAAAACCCTAATTTTGACCATTTTTCCCTTTTGACAATCTGATCAAATTTCTTGAGGAATTATGATCCAAACTTGATCAAATGACATATATGAGTTAATGATGTTGATATGGATAAAAAATTATGAAGTTTGATTGTAAATTGACCACAGTTTACTTTTTCCCCAATACAACTAATTTTAGGTCAACTGATCAATTGATTGAGCAAAAATGTGATCCAAGACTTGAAACTTGACATGAGAAAACTTGAGGGTCTAAAATGATTCATGAAAGTCACATGGGGCATCAAAAGTTCATTTTTCCTTGTGCCAACTCAAACCCTAATTTTCAGTCATCAGTGCTTGAGGAGGTGTCTTGAGCTAATCAACCCTTGTGCAGTCTTGAACTAAAGGAGATCTTATGAGAGATTACTTTGAGAAATGAGAGGGAAAATTTTGGGGTACAACACAGGTAAAACGCACGAATGAAATGATATATTCATGAGCTTTTGCCCAGGATGTCACAGTTCTCATCTTCTGGCCAGAGTTCATGCTTCTTGCTTGTGTTTCATAATCTTGCTTGCAGCAATGCCTTTGCTTGCCACCTCATCCATTCACACCTTCCTCACTATGTCACAAACTAATGAAAACGCAACCGTTGAAAGCTTAAAATGCAACAAGCTTCAAAACTGTCTTTAACGGCTCCAAACTATAAATGACCACCATACCCTTAGCAAAGCTTCCTCAACACTCTTTCCCACTCTATATAAACTCCTCTTCACTTTCATTTCAGGGAGAACGTCATTTGCATTCACACCAAACCTCTGAAGTTTCTTCTCAAAGCGCAAACCTCTCTCTCAAAACAAAATTTTCTTCTTCAAAATTCTTTCTCGAGTTTCTTAGCTCTAGCATCGATTTCTGCACAATTATACTACATTGAAGTTGAAAGAAAAGGTTCATCGGGTTTCTTTCAAAGTTCAAAGGCATAGAGTGAATTTAGTTTTCACTCACTTGAGGTAAGTTTTCTTGAGCTTCGATCTGAATTTTTTTTGCTTGCATTCATGATGTAGATCTTGTATGATAATGTAGATGGCCAGATCTTAGATCTGATGTGTGTTCATGTGTGATTTGAAGTTCAATTCATGCTCTGCAAGTTGTGTGAAATTTTCATGTTACAGTGATTTTGTATTCATATTTCTACTGGATCTTGAATCATTTTGAAAAATCATAAGCATCATCGTGTTCTTTGTAATTCTGTGAATAATTTTGGTGTTTGGATCAAACTATTTGGTTGAGAAACGAAGGAGAAATTCAGATCTGAAAATCGTATGATAATTCTGTTTTATACATGTTCATGATTTCATTGATTTCAGTGATCTTCGCATCATTTTTTCTCCTTGTTTCGTGCATCATTTTAAGAAATCTTTGATCCTACGTTAATCTACTATATGAGATCTTAAATTTTGGTTTTTATTTCAATGGATTTGGATGAGAGATGAGCAAGATATTGTAGCATGAACATTGCACGTTGAATTGTATTCAACAAGTTAGGGCATGATTAGAGGACAGGGATGATGACGTGTCTGTTTCCAATTGAACATGATTTGAATTTCTTTTACAACATATTTGGTTTTTAACAGGTGTAATAGACTTCAACATGTTTGAATTTTCATGCACTTTTATTTATTTTCTTTAATTTTGTTTTCATATTTTTCTTGATTAAAAAATTATAAATTTTTTTTATAGATTTTATTTTTAGTCTGTTTTCATATTATGAATTTTATTCCATATTTTTAATATTATTTTATAAGATTAAATCATTCAATTAGTTCAATTAGGGTTTTAATCATCTTTTAGGTTCTAGAATTTTATTTTCTAATTTTTACTAACCTAAAAAACCCATAAAAAATATTATGAGTTTATTTGTGAATCTATTTCATAAAAATAATTTTTGTTTGATTTTATAAAATTTTTGACAAGCTAATTAAACCAATCAATTAGTTATGTCATTTTCTTTACTTTTTTTGTTACATTGTGAAAATAATTTTTGTTTGATATTTTCCTCTAGTGATAAAATTCCAAAAAAATATATTTACTGACTCTTAGGTATTAAACTAATTTTTCAAGATTTTAAATTGAATTTACATTTCAGTTTGCCTATTTTTACAAATTTTAGAAACTAATATTAGTTTTTGGTCTTTCTTCTTGCTTAAGCCTAAAGAAACATTTGAAAATATAACTTCTTTTACTTCCAAAAAATCAAAGAAAATATGTTTGAGTTTTTGGATGACTTGAGATTATAAAAATAATTTTAGTTGAATTTTAACTTTTGATCTAACATTTTTCACAATTTTTTTTTCTAAAAAACTATCTAGTTTGACCATTTTGTCAACTAGTCTTGTTGATTTCCAATCATTTCCACCTTTTCAAGTTAATTCAACGACTTTAATTCATGTTTCTTACTTTTACAAGTATTTAGGAATTTAGAATTTAATTGACTTAATTTTACAAGCCTTTTCCTATTTTTTAGCCTAATTTTGATTTAGGGGCATGTTTAGGGTTTTGCCTTGACCAAAAGGTTTGTATATGAAAACTTGTATGCATAGTAAATGGACAATTTTTGGCCTAGCATATGATAGTGACTTGGTTATATTGTGTTCCATTTATCTTATTTTTCTAAAGCTCCTAACACCCTCTTCTTCTATTAAACCTTGAATATTTCTTATCCACCTCTCTTGGTGTGTTTAAAAGTTTCATCTATTGCTTATGTTTTGTCACAAAAAATGTTGAGTGTACTTGATGCTTGATCATTCCTTGAGTTATGTTCTATCATCCCTTCTCATATCTTTTCTTGATTATCTTCTTGCCATGATCCCCATAGGATCTCCAATTCACTCCTTTATAAGTTTGAATTGAATAGACCTTAAGCTTGTATCCATGTATACCAACATTAGGTAGATGTTCCTCCCCTCTTATCCTCAATAATAGGATCAACAATGCATGACAACTTTAGGAATATTTTGCTAGTCTCTCCATAAAATTTTCTTTCTTCTTTTGCATCTCATTAAAACAAAAAACTTTCTTTTCTTTCAAACTTCAAACACTTAAAAATTACTGATGAGAACCATACCTTTGTTGAGAATGGGATATGATAAGCGGTTTTCTTCTCGATCTTGTTGTTCTTCCATTCTAGGATTTGGTGTGGTTCAAGTATTAAAGACTCATTTCATGGATAAGTGGGGAAGTGGCTAATATCTCTCTCTTGATATTAACTAACTATTATCCGCAACAAAAAAACACCAACCAATACCAACTCTTTTTCGCCTTCGAGCCCTTTCTTCAAAACTTTCAAAAGAACATGTTAATTTACTCCTGTGCTGACGCGTGATTCTCTGAAGGTCGAGTTGCGGTAGAAGGCGAAATTAATATTGTTCATTAAAAATACAAAACAAGCAGAAACTTTTGAGCCAAACTACGGCGCTCTGATTCCTTAAAAGGGATACGTTGGCATCTGATCACGGGGCTCAACCGAGTGACCTTTGTAATATTTTCTTCTTTTCCCCGTGTTTTCTCTTTTGCATTCATTCCCCCTTTGCATCTTTGCTTTTTAGCTCTTAAGCTTTAGACATAGATTTTACACACCCTTTGATTAGAACAAACATAAGTGGATCTTGTGGAGTACCACAAATGTGTGGGGTTCCAATACCTTCCCCTCGCGTAACTGACTTTCTTACCCGATATCTATAGTTGCAAGACCGTGATTTCATCCCTTCAGGTTTACTTGATGTTTAGATTTCCCTTTCGGTGGGATAAAAACATTCGATGGTGACTTCATTGAGTTTTATCTTTGATGATTTTTCCAGTTATTTCAGGGAGCACACAACGACAAGGTTATAACTGGAGGGAGCAATGCTCTATAAGATAATCTGCACCACTTCTCAACACACAAAGGGAGAAAGAATCCAACAACTAAGAAAATGCTACAAAACTATACCATCTCTGCTTGATCACAACCCTGCTGGAAAGGGGAATCACACTTTTCTGGAGATATCCACATTAAGACTTAACTGGGGAATATGGGATAGAGGTATCAAACCACCAAAACCAACACCATATAACAACTTGGAGAAATTTAACTATCCAAAGAAAAAATGCAAGAGGACTAAGTGCAGATCAACAAGAGTAACCCGAGAATACTTCTTGGAGGAAACTTTTCAAGACTTCGAAGTTTATCCATCCTCGAAACCACTACTTTTTTCCCGTTTGATTCACAGAATCAAAGTAAAAAGTAATTTGCAAATTCTTTTCAAAAACATGTTTTTATTTCTTTAAGTCTTTTTGTTTTGAAAATTACTATCAATAGTAAATGAAATTTTTGTAGACAAAATAAAATAAGAACTACAAAGAATTAGATAAACTCAAACTTTATTAATAGAATGGTAGTCCGTAAATGGCGTGACTCCATAGATGATTACGAAGTTTTAGAAAATGGTAAATATATGGAAAAGGTACATTGAAACACAATGACCACTATTCTCCTTAACAACTTTGAACTCATGTGCATAGGCTTCAGTTGAAGTGTGGTGAGAATCCAAGAAGATTGTTTCTTTAGGGAAAGTATTTCTTAACTACATCAGCATTCACGGAACGTGGGAACTCCTCACCATCCATAGTTTCAAGAATCAATGCACCACTAGATAAGGCTTTCTTGACAACATATGGGCCTTTATAATTTGGAGTCTAATTGCCCCTAGTATCAGAGTTAAAAGACATGATCTTCCTGAGCACGAGGTCGCCTTCTCCGAATTCATGTGGCTTAACCTTCTTATCAAGGCATTTTTGTAACACACTTTCAGCAATAACAAAATTTAGTTGGATGGTAGAAAGAAATGTAGTTACAATTTTAGCAACACGAGAAGTTACAACTCAGCCTCAGAAAAATATCACCAACAAGTTTTTGTAACAGAATTTCAATCCAACTATGGAGAGATGTTAACCCGTAACAAACTCATAACAGAAAAACTCACCACATAATATCATTCTTCAATTTTTGCAGAAGAATCACACAGCAAACTCCAAGAAACTCTCTCTTGTCCTCTTATCTTCATCTTCATTCTTCATCAGTAGAAGAATCACACCAAAATTCTCTCTTCTCCTCTCATCTTCATTCTCCACAATTCTTAGAAGAATCACAAGAAATTCTAGAAAATCCTCAATATCTCTCTCTCTGAAAATGACTTCACGCTTCATCTCCATGAGCATCATCTTCTGTTAATTCAACTCTCCACCTCTTGCAGCTTCATCACACATCATTTTCATCTTCACGTAACATCATAATCACGCATCAACTTATCTTTCGGTCTTCATCGCTTCTTCAACCTTCATCAACATATAACCATTCGGCAATCCCCTTCGAGTCGCCGTCAACAACATTAAGTCTTGATCTCTGCAACTTCCTTGATTCATTGTAAAAGCTGTACTATTTCTTCTTCAATTTGATTGTTCAACAATAATATTGATCTTTATCATCATCACCTTCAATTCTTTCTCTCTCTGCTTCACCTCTCTACGAGTTCACACGCCATCACCAATCATCATCTGCAAGCACTTCACGCGTTTTCAACATCTGCTTCAATCAACATACATAAATTTGTAAAAATGCAGGGAACATAATATCGTGAAACAAAGAATTAAGAAGAAGATCAATACCACAACGACACACGAAAACACAGAGAGACTGAAAGAAGAATGATAAAGGAAGAATTTACCTTTGGATTTCTCGTTTGACATCGCTGTTGAAGAGCTACCAGAGTTCTCCGGTAGGTGAGTCTTGAACTCTTCCACACCTTTTCGCGTCTCTGGATGATCTAAATCTCGTGAATCCGTAGGATATGGTGCGGTTTAGTTCGTATTTTTCATCATTTTTTCGTTCTTCTTTTGGTTGAGATGAAAGAAACAAGGACGAATCAGAAAACATGTGAATACGAAGAAGAGAAGACGAAGATAAAGAGGCAGTGAATGACATGGTTACAGTGGCGTGTTTGATCGGTCGCGACAGAAGGAGAAGAGGAAATCGGAGTATTCACGACAGAGAAGAAGAGAATATCGTGGAAGCTTAAAGGTCACAATCTCTTAACCTAATTTGAAACGCACCGTTCCACATTTTATGTTTATTTTCTTTTCTTATATTTCTTTTGTTTTAATTCCCATAAATAATAGTTTAAACAAAATAAAAGTTGGGTTGGTAATATTGTGATTGGACCGAGTTGCATTTGACTGAGGCCCATGGCCATTTTATTTTTGAAGTTGATTTTTTCTGAAACTATATAAAAATAGCTTATTGTACATTGCAGGATGGGCCTAGCGCCTGAATTCTAGTCATACATCTGAATCTAGTTATACACCCCCTTTGTAGTAGTTTATATTAATTGTTTTTAGTCAACTTTTTCTTTCCAATTATTTTGGTAGGTTTTGTTAATAAAAGTGCATGAATAGCAAATAATAGTAGAATATAATAGAATTTTTCTAGGATTTATTTTTTTGTTTTTTTAGAATTTTGGTTAGAATTTTCTATTATTGTTTATGTTCGGTAATCATTTTATTGCCAAGATTTTTTGATTCACTTTTGCTTGTCGAGTTTTGAGTCTTATGCAGGTTTATCGTGCGATATGCGGATATGCTTTGAGTTTCGGATAGTGATTTATTTTCACATCGATGATGCTTCGACGCTTATTCCGAGAATTTAATTTCTGACTCTTCTCTATTACTTGGTGAAGCTTACTTGAAGTTTTCCGGGTTGCCCTGCTTTGCTTGTTGTGCTACGAAATTTGGTTTGTTTGGTATCATTCTACCTCTGGTTTATCTTTCCTTACTTTACTACTTTCTAGATATCATGAGAAGTAGGAAATAAAGAATGTGCGCTCGAAGTCGCTGTTTAAAGACTTGTAGCAGGCATTCCACACTTATTTGCCACTCATGTTTGTGCTTGTGTTGTTAGCGATCAATGATGTCACTCAATTAGAATTGAGAAAATGGCTTCGATATTTGCATGCTCCCCATAAGGTTTCTTGGCTTATTTTTGTTGATGATCGATGATGTCACTCAATTAGAATTGAGAAAACGACTTCAATCTTTGCATTCTCCCTTAGGACTTTATCATTTTCCTTTTTTAATGATCGATGATGTCACTCTATTAGAATTGAGATAGCTATGTTGATCTTTGCATGTTCTCTATAGGATAGTTATCCTCACCCTTAGGTTTTAGGTATGTTAACTTATGTAGGGAATTCCCTTGTATGCTCTCTTGAGCTTGTTGATTGCTTGTTTTCTTTTCATCCTTTATATTCCATGTTCCCTTAGGCTTTGAACCATTGTATGTTCCCTTAGGATCGCTCGATTATGGTAGCTTTCGAGATAGACACTAGGTAAGTAATCCATGCATGCTAACATATGGTAGAGGTTTCCCTTTCAAAACTCAACCTTAGGATCAATTATTATATGATAACATTGGGGATTAGATTCTAGATAGTTTCCCTTAGATGTTTTTCTTTCTTTTGCATCCTTGCATTAAGACTAAAACTCTTTCCTTGGAAAATTAGTAAAACATATAACAACTTTCAAATCCTTTTTCAAGGTAAAAAAAATCAACCAATGCAAACTATTTTGCGCCTCCAGGCCTTTTCTTTCAAACTTTTAAAATAACATGTTAATTCACTTGTGTGTTGACGCGTGAATCTCCAAGGGTCGAGTTGCGGCAGAAGGCGAAATTAATATTATTCATTAAAAAACACAAAACAAACTGAAACATGTGAGACGAACTATGGCACTCTGATTCCTTAAAACAAATACGGAGGCATATGGTCGTGGGGCTCAGCCAAGCGAAACTTTGTAAATATTTCCTTCTTTTCCCCATGTTTTCCTTTGCATGCATTCCCTCTTTACATTTTTCTCCTTATCTCTTAAGCTTTAGATTTGAAAACACCCTTTGATTAGAACCACAAGAATGGATACCGTAGAGTACTACATGCATGTGGGGGTGCTAATAACTCCCCCTCGCTTAAAAGACTCTCTTACTAGATCTCTCAGTCGTTCGAACTTGATTTCACCCTTCTCAGGTTTACTCGATGTTTACCTTCCCCTTCCTGTGGGATAAAAAACATTCGATGGTGACTACATTGATTTCATCTCGATGATTTGTTCAGCCGGTTGTTTCAATAGTTTACATAAAAAATCTGGAACTTGTCGGGACAACCATAAACCATATTCACTTATTCTTCATATTCAGCCCTTGGTCTCATTATGTGCATAAGGCCTTCATCCATCATCTCCTAGAGATTAACTATCACTTTATCACATCCACGAATATCTTTCTTGCAAAGGCAGCATGTTGTACGGTCATGTGTATAATAGCTAAACTCGTAAAGATCAGCATGCATCTTTACTAAATCACCTCTTACCAAGTTTATATAAAAAATTATGAATTCTTCTAGACAACTAGAAACCATGTTCAGAGTAACTCCACTTCCATGCTTGGGCAGTGGATTAGCTTGTACATTGGGACCGACATCTTTAAAAGATAATAGACCAGACCTTACTGTAGCGGTAGAAATGTTTAAGACTAAGCCATTAGATTGAATTGAATTATACAGATCAAAATAAAAATCGCCATCGCGCTTTATTGTTTCCAAAGGAATGGGAAAAGAGCGAATAACCCAAAAGAGGGGGAAAGATTCAAGGTAAGGGGGTTGGTTATGCAAAGGGAAGGTATTAGCACCCTAAACATCTATGGTACTTCGCAGGAACCACTTTGTAAAATCTGTATATTTTTTGGCTATAAAATGTTGTATAAAAATAGATGGTGGAGGTGAGAAAAGAAAAATATATTTTTATGGTTTTTGCAACCGCCGCGGTTGCGAACGTTTAGTGCCTACGTACCACCTTTTAGGAAATAGGGAATCAGGGTACACGTAGTTCCTCTTTAAAAAAAAATTAAGACATAAGTGTGTTGGTTAATTTTATGAGATAAGACATCATTGTCATTGTCCGTGTGGAAAACATACTTACTACCTACAATTATGAGAAAGGAGAATTTGCATCATCTCAAAGTGGAGGATATGGCTTGGATTTTAAAATCAACAATGTTTCACTCAACACCCAAGTGGAAAACATCTCTCTTCACTATATATTGTAGAAGTATAGTTGTTTGAATCACTACAAGGATTGACAAGAGTCTAATCTTTTTAGAAAGGGTTTTAAAATAAGAAAGCCAAAGTGGCAAAAATAATTTGAAATGATATTGATTGACTTTTAGTCTTCTCACCAAAAAATGATGTCAAAATATTATTAAGTTGATTGAGGTTTATTCATGAAAATGTTTTTGAAAATGCATGGACCTAAGTCCAAGTTTATTATGAAAGTGGTTCAAGTTTCAAAACAAGAGGAGTTTTCAAAAGGAGGAAGAATATTTTTGAAATTAAATAAGATGGGAGGAAAAGAAGAGATTATCCTAAAGCATAAGGTAAAAGCTAGGGATAAAAACCATCTAACCAACAAGAAGCCAATACTTGACATTATGAGCCAAGATAAAATTCTCATTCTTTGGATTGAAACCAAGCAAGCAAAGATACTAGACCTCTTGAAAGAACCCAAACTCCAAATGTATTAAGTCTTCACAAAAATTTGGCAGAGTAATAGTTGTCTACGAGTGAATTCTAGATTACAAACAAAGAGTGTAATCATAATAACCTGCACACAAAACAAACAAACAACCCAATGTCTTGAGGTAAACCTCAAGAGCTCCAGACAAAATAATCAGATAAGGTCACAAGGTTTCCAATCATAAGCCATGGTTTCTAATCCTAAGTCCAAGAAGTTCAATTCTCCATAATGCCAAGGATAGTAACCAAATAGTCCAAGTATCATTAAAGATTTTTAGGGTTTATGTTGATTATTAGGTGTCTTGAAAAAAGAAAAGTAAAGCTCAAGTGAGCAAAAATAAAAATGACAAGAAATTAAATGGGCTCAAGTGAGCAAAGATGAAAAAAAAAGCATGAAATGTAAATGCTAAAAGTAAATAGTGTATAAAAATAAAAGGGGGCATATAATGAAATACAGGATAAAGTCAATTATTAGTGATTAGTGGTTAGTTGGATGATCATCTTGAAACTTGCATTTGGAACTCATTAGAGGATTGGTAGAACCAAAGCCTCCACACAATAAGTTTCATTTGCTTTTTGTCAAGTATATCATCCATTTGGAATCCTCATAAGTACCATTTAATGATCAACGATGTTTAAGTGATCCGCGTTGACCAAAGGTGTTGTAGATTCATTAGAAGATTGGTAGAACCAAAGCCTCCATACAATGAATCTCAAGGTAATTGGATCAAAGAGATCAAATTAATATACTTTGGCTTGCAAACATAAGTTTGGGCCACGAATGATCTTTTATTCGAATCGGGACAAAAT